GAAACCAACGGCTTTGAGGGACTTCAGTATTTCATCGGCAACGGCTTGTTTATTGGAACCGGTGAGGAATGGCTCGAAGTCGATAATAGGAACAAGACCAGTCCCGCTACCAAGAGATTCAGAAGACATTATGGCTACGTTATTGCCAGTGTGAGAGCAAGCCGCAGACATTTGGCCGTGGTAGGCTGCGTGAGCAGCCTCACCCTCGTATCGGCATGTGGCTCGGGCCTATCGGACCGGGACCAGCGATCCACACGATTTCAAGCCCGACGCTCAACTGCCCGGACGACCGAAGCCTGGTGTGGAGCTGGCGTGCTTGCCGGTGTGCCAACATCCCTTGCAACGTCCGCACTTCCAGACGCCCGCCGATCCTTTCTCTCACGCACAGCACGTCATTTGAAGGTCATTATTCAAGTAAGAAAGGACTCATGGGACTGGGATATCACCATTCTATCCTACTGGCAGCTCCTAATGAAGCAAGAGAACCCGTCGACTCCGCATCGTGACCTCGCGCTTGTCCACCTTACGGGTGTCATGTGCGTCTTGCGTCACATCCGCCAGCGGCCATAAGACGCGGGTTTCGAGCCCGAATGCCTGAGCATATACCTAAGGCCCCGGGTTAGAAGGCTTACTCCTAGTGAATGAGCTGGATGTAGACTCGGAATGATGTACATTGGCCTATTTTCGCAACGATCTGCGCGTTCGAACGGACAGCATCGTCCGAGACGATCCCTGCATCACAGCTGAGATACTGTCCCACCGACCCGTCCAGAGGAGCATCTGCTTCAGACCTCAAACTGCTCGCGAGTCCAGCGCCGACTGAATTCGAGTAATTCGGCATGTGCATCCCTTGTTTTCACTCTTGTTTTCACCGGTCTTCTCGGCTCTAGAGGCGAATCGCGCGATGTTTCCTGTCAGGGTTTGTCGTAGATGGGGGCATCCGAAAGGATTGAGTCGGGAAAAACTTCGCTGGACATGGTATTCTCCCCCAGACCATGGGCGTTAGACCGAAATAATGAAGGCTAGGCTCAAAGGCACCACGAGGCACTTTCATAACGACCATAACATTCTCAGGAATGCACAGTAACTCGCGAGCTCGGAAGGAGTGAAGTGCGATGCTGAGTAGCATTGGAATCCGGGTGGCAAATATGCTGCTTGAGCAAGCCACCGAAGCGCCCCGTTCCCGATCACATAGGGGATAGTAGGCTAGAGCTGCATGCAGTAGGCCAGGACCCTGCGCTTAGCGCGCCAGCGGAGGTCAATGATTCTAACGGCGACTATGCTAGGTCGGAGCCGAGTTTGCATCGCAGGACAGCCTGGATACGTTTCTACTTGCTGTCTTGAGTCCGCGAGCACGCCATCCTGTTGGCTCGCGGGATGAGGATCGCACCGCACGTCCGCGGTGGAAGTAGCCGTATCTTTGGCCCCACGACCGCAATGCTACCCAAGGCATTCAATAGGAGCAGACTCGGCATCGTGCTAGAATCAACGCCATTGTAGGTGCCGTCGTTATTCTGGGTTCGTGTTCCCTTGAGGATTTCGGCTGAATGGAACAGGGCCCATGGGTCGGAAACCTTACCTTGATATACTACCCGCTAGGGCAGTCCTTCCTTCAACGCTAGCAGTACCACTATGGCGTTGCAATCTGCAGGGAGACCAGATAGGCAGCCCTGCGAGTGAGCGAGATCGATCGTTGGGGTCAGATCGGAACGTGAAATGGACGAGGAAAAGGCGTGCTGCCCAAAGCACTTGCAGAAGCAGGAAACTGTCAGGAAAACACGCGTCAATGTTTGTATGCAACAGCAAATATCCGGCACGACAAAGCTTGCAAGAGAGCATAGGAAACAACGTACGAAAGCAAGAGACGCGCGGCAGTAAGAGTGCGTAAGGTAACAAATACCAAAACTTACGCAGCCGTTCAGGAGCATTGGGAATGAGATCTGTGGAGAGGAGTACAGGCAAGCAGCGTAGCTTAGGAGCGCCACTACCTCTGCGTCGTGCCGCGCGCTATGTCTCGGCCCACAGCCACGGTCGCCGCTTCCCAAGAGAAGGACCGCACTCCTCCCTCCGACATCTCCGAGCTAGGTCGCGGTTGGCGCTGGCCGCGTAGCCCTCTGGGGGTTCGAGGCTCTGCCTCCGCTTCCTGATATCGGATGATTTGGAGATCTGCTGTCGCGTGAGGCGGAGCAGACGAAGGTGAATAGGCTTGTAGGTGCTGTCCAGGCACGTCCGATGGGCCAAGGTGTTTACGGTAGTGACGTCGCATGTTTGAGTTGACATTGAAGGCCTTGCCGCATCCAGGAAACTGGCAGACAAATGCTGCGCCATTCAGTCAGCACGATGTAAAGACCAATGCATGAATCATACATACGACGTGCACCAGTGTGTGTGTTGATGTGTATCCCGAGGCTACTCGGACGGTTGAAACGTCGATGACACTGGGGACACTCGTGCCGTCTGCCGCCGACATCGTCTAGGAGGTCGCCAGAACGAGTAGGTACAGACGCAGGGAATGAACCCGAAGTCGTGGTAGGATCGTCATCTTCGTCTAATTCATCCGATTCAGACGGAGATGGCGATGGCGACAGCGGAGAATTTGATGAATACGGGCTCTTGACGGGGCGAAAGACTGGCAAAGGTGAAGAGTGCGAACGACCGCGCGCTTCGCGAAAGACATCATAGTCGTAGCGATTCTCTGGTGACGACTGGGAGACGCCATGCCTCGCGAGACGGTGCGTATGGCTAATGGCATGTTGATCTTCCGACGGAAGATCGTACGCGTATGAACCCTGCCGACGAGAGTGGTCGAGTTGTGCTTGTGACGTGCGTACCGGAGCGGGAGGCGGAGGATACGTGTACGCGGGAGCACTGTGCGTTGGGTGGGCCTGCTGAGGGGCAGCTTGCATTCTTGGCCGATCGCTTGAGAGTCTATGACGAGTGGCAGGGCTCACAGATGGTGATGGCTGTATAAAGATATCAGCGGTGTTCAACCCCGCAAGGAACTGATGCGCAAACCATCGACGACGAGAAGATCGGGTATCGCGGCGGTGGCGGGAAGTCATGGCGGAGGGTAATGTCGTGGAATACATGGTCTGCTAATTGTCAGACGGCTCCGACTCGGGACAGAGGCGGGAAGAGACGCGCCTGGGAGAAGCTCGTGAATACTGGGCAGGGACGGGTTGGACTGTTGCGACGAGGGCATGGTGTTCGCGACAATCTCGCAGGGGATTGTGGGTGTCCGCTTAAATACAGGACCGGATCGACGGGCGCTGGAATGCGTCAATAACAGAGTCCAGGTAGTCACAAAGTGCGAGGGCCCGGTGGCGCACGACATATCGGGTATATGCCACGATGCGAGCCCATAGGTCAAACTGCGGCCTCATTAAACGAGGCAACGCGGTGCGTCTTCCTCGGGGCAACAGCTAGGACCAGGATCAGCCTTTGAATAGAATCTATCCTACCTGGTACCTAACCCCGTACCGCCCCGCAAGATTCCGGCCCGCGGAGTGACAATCGTCACGGCGGCAGCAATCAGTCAGCCTCAGCGAGCCTGTCAGCCGAACAACAGCCTGTTGAATATGGACCGGCCAGCGTGGAATCGCCCCCGAAAGCCGTCCTCGGAACACAAGCCGTGAGCGCAGATATCGCGGTAACGCGTGATGCCGCCGCCGATGTCATGAACAATCCCGCAAGTCTATTCCGGCTCATCAAAGGGGATTTGCGCGTCTGACACCTTCTCGGGCACGAGGTGTGGGAGAGCGTACCGAGCGACTTGCGGGAGAAACGAACACACCCTGCCCGGCAGCGCTAGCCGCCGGGATTCGAACCGCATACGTTACATGATCTTCTGCCGGTAATCCTAATCCTGTCCTATCCTGCGGACAGGGGATCCATCAGTTCGAATTCATCTGCTCATCGGAGGTCACGCTCGGCGTGAGGGTCCCTTCCTGGAAGCGCCTAGATGTGCATGTCCAAAAACACGCACCAGCGGTGAATGGCACTGAATGCATCGACTCCGGTTCCTCTCAGAGGCTGTACGATCTACCTCGTACGAGGTCGGACATGATCGGTTGAAGGGTGACTGTTGTATCAAAGACACACCATGGAGATCCTGTTGCGCTCTAAGTTTCGGTAAGTCGGGGAAATGGCCGACCGGCGCCCCCGACGGCGGCGGGGACTGCACCCGGCAACAATGTGTACAGCGAGGCAGTGAGAGCTGGGACCCCACTCCATACGCCTCACACACGTCGACGGGCCTGGGTTCATCAGTCTTCGCCTCCGCAGAGAAGGGATTGTCGGTACCAAAACAGGACCTGTTACAGAAGGAGGAGGCCAGTTATCCGGCGATGGCGCCTTCCAGGAGTACCTGACCACGCACCGGTAACTTGATTATACGACGGCCGGGCACCTCCCTGGACAACAAAGCGCCATTTCCTCCAGCCGCTCAGAGCCCCAGCCAATCCGCATTGCCATGAGCGTGGCACATCTTGCGACGAGCACGGGCCTTTCGTAAGAACAGCGAACGCGCCTTTCAACCTTTGGTATAGTTAGACGCAGCGGCAAATACTGCGTGTGCAGTCGTAGGCGCGTTCTTCGTTTGGTTCTTTGCGTCACATTTACGGAACGTTGCTGGCTCACTTTCGTCCCGGGTCCACGACATCACGGTCGGCGGGAGCGGCTTCGGATTAAGAGGGTAATTGAGGCAAGATGTGGACGTACGTCGCGGCGACTTGGATATTAACGAGCTCCTAAAAAGAGCGCGACATGATCAGCGCTGCGGCCCTGCCTAGGGAATCGTCGATGAGAGGGAGCCATCTCATAAGGAGACAACGTCATCATCGCAGGAGTGCAATCGAAGGATGAGCTGCGTTCAACTTCGGTCGGGTACTATACCGGAACAGCATCGGAACTTGAAATGCATATTGACGGAGCCTGGGGCCTGAGACCTGAAGTTGAAGGACCTGAAGACGCGAGTCGATTGGGTGGATGTCAAAATGATAGGGCCCAACCCGGGATTGAACCGGGGATCCCTTGCAAGCGATCTATCCCAACATACGTTTGGCGGACATTGGGATAGATGACCCAAAGCAAGTATCTTACCACTAGACCATTGGGCCGTTGAACTATCTCTTCGGCAGCTTTACAGATAGCTGGGATCTTTCCTGTACTTCAGTACAGCATACTTACATATCGGAGGAGTGCAAACCTCAAACAAGTCGCCTGTTCGCTTTCCAGGCAAACTGTTCGTTTAGACTTGATAACGCTAGCGCACATGAAAAGCGTTGTTTGACGGCAATTGTCTAGTTCATTCTGAATCAGCCAGTTTCCTGCCCCCCCGACACCTTCCTAGATGCAGCGGAGGCTCTTAACAATCTCAGCCCAAGGAATCCATAGTCATCTCCAGTCTAACAAACAACACAGTCCTCGCGTAGGTTTAGATTGTACATGGTCTTGTCTACGACCTTCTCAATCTTCTTCCAGTCGCTCCGCCGCTGGACGAACTCGTAGATATCCTATGCCGGAGGAATGCGTCAACTCTGAGCCGACGAGGACATGAGTGGTTTGTGCGTACCTCCGGACGGTACGCCCCACCGTACCGAGTGACATCTCGGACGATCTGCGCAAGGTCTTTCGCGTCTTCCACGACATACACGTGCCCGAGCATCTTGAGATTCGCGAAATCAGCTGTGAGGGTGGGGATCTGCGAAGCCGGCTTTAGTGACACATGTCGCCGGAACCGGGCGGGTGCGATCCACTGCGCGAGAATACTTGTGACTAACCTTGAGCTTGGAAATGAACGCATGGTAAGCGTTCAGGTCAGCGATAACCTGAAAACCCCCGTTGAGAGAGATGATCTGGCGCTTGATATGCTTCTGGAGAATACTAATAGAAGAAACCAAGAGCGCTCAGCCCATCGAGAGTATCGGGTAAGGCGGGATCGTCCCTACCTGATGAGGCGTACGCCAACTTCGGTCTGAAATACTTCTAACACCTCGCGGTTCACATTCCCTTTCAGCAGCCGGATGTGTTCCTCGAGGCAACTGATCGCCTCCATACATCCCCTTGAAGGTCCAAGAAGCAGCGGCGCATCTTCGGGTGGGTAATACGCCCGAGGTGGCGTTAGAGTAAGTATAATGTGATCGACCTGAAAGCAGCTGTGTGAGTAGCGTGTCTCGCCCGAAGACTGCGACCACAGCCAGCTCCGTCAGTCTGTTTAACGAGGCTCTGTGAACTTTACAGTGATCACGGGCACGTCCCACTGTCGGGGACCAAGTCGCAAAGAGTGTCGAGCGTCATGATCACCAGTAAACCTGGCTATGTAGACAAGACTCGAGCCAAAAGAGCGTTGGTACGAATCCGCAGGCGTGACACACACCTGGTTCATTAAGACCTCGATGCCCGCATTCAGTCCTTGGGCAACAGAGTCATCCAATAGATTTTCAAAGCGCTTCTTCTCCCGAACGACGGTATTAAGGAAATCCGTAGCATCGATGTGAGGGGTCTAGCAGACAGGTGGTGGATTAGCACGATCGTCCGAAATGAAAAGACGGCCACAAACCAGTTCTTTATCAAAGTAGACCTGGATGATACTCTGAATCATATCACCGATATGTACGAGCTCAAAAAATTGCACAAGGGGTGCAACGGAGGTCGATACAGCTTTTTCAGTCTCCGACTCCTCGCCGGAGGCATCAGCACTGAGCGTTGGCGGCTGGTATGTCCGCATTTGTGCGATGGCCAATTCAAAACCGGGTTTGACATGACGTGAGCCCAGCGTTAAGAGCATCTCCGCGGCGACTTCCTCGATGGTCTCTCTGACACGAAGTCCATACGTTCCGGGATACCCATCGAAAGTCTCAACGCGCTTGAGCGAATCGCGCGCCGCATGGATAAGTTCGAGAGTAGTATCAAGAGAGAGTAGGAGCTGTAGGTTGTCATATGTTCGTCTGCTCTTGAGCTCACCGTCGCCGACCTTCGTCGAAGTGGACGCTGAGCTTGCAAGAGTGCGCTCGTCAGCCTTCTCGTCCAAGATATCATCCTCGTCTCCACCGTCCCAAATGACCGGATTGGCTTCCCCTTGGCGCTGGTAGTGCTCATAATCGGTCGATGGGGATGTTAGGGTTTCGGCGCCCCAGCGCCGCGGGTCAAGCATGGAGATACCTTGCACCGCGGCCCCGGAGACGGTCGTCGCCGTTGCCACAACCGTACGCGGGACGATCGTCACCGGAAGCAGTAGAACATCTGTGAAGCTGGAGAGTACGGAGCGTTTGTAAGAAGACGAAGCAAATAGGGTGGCATCTATCTGTGGCGCTGGAATCGTGTTCGCGGCCTGGAAAAGCGTGTTAAACGCAACATGTGGCGTAAAAGAACCTGTCATGACCTGCTGTTCCCACTCTTTGCACGTCTTGTCGAAGGTAAGTTTCAAAGTCTCTACCTCTTCATCAAGGTATTCGTCCATGTTGGGCTCAAACATGCGGTAACTATCAAGCGCTGCAGTCGGTGCGTGAGCTCTGTGGGCTGAAAAATGTACATACATGACGTCCTCTGCCTGCGTCTTGGTGGCCACACTGTCTCCACCCGCCGCCGCGGCGATGGCGATGATTGTGTCAACCATCCGCCATGCTTCCCGGAAACACGCTGCAGTCGCGCGGAGAAAGAGAGCGCCGTTCTGCAGGGACCGTGCGTGTGTAAGGAGTGGCGTGATGTACTCGCCCACCTATGCGGTGGCGGTTATAGTTGGGTCAGCGAATGGAACGAGGGCAGCTTACCACCTCGTTGGCTATTCGATCCGCGAACGCGAGAAGCACGCGGGACGCAAGCGGAAACACACGCACGGCTCGAGAGCCGTGTTCGCGAAGATTCTCGAGAACGAAGGTCATGAATGCGTCCATTGCATCGAAGTCCAGAGCCCCTGACGCTCTGAGGCCGAGTTAGCGAAGGTGTAGTGGACCGAAGGAGTAAGAAGGCGTGTCGTACGTGACGTTGTCGCGGGGATTATACTCGCCCACTGTATAGAAGATCTCCCGCTTCTCCGCCCAGACCCGCCCCATCTCCCACTCGGCGCTTGATCCAAACGAGGACGAAGACGGCTGCGCGGCATGCTGGCTTGCATTCCAGACTTCCCAGCTTGCCTCTGCGGCGTGGCGCATTTCTTCCTCGTCCGACCGCGAGTCGGCAGTTTCAAAAGCGGTAAGGAGGGCAGCATCGAACCGATCCGCGGCAGCCCGTAATCCGGACAGGAGGGTGGATAAGCTGCGCAGGGGAGATATGTCCGGCGAAAGAAATAGGAAGAGGAGGTGAAGGATATGTGCTTGCTCGGATAAAGAATCGTGTGATGTTGAGAAGAGGCTGGACAGAATCTGGTGAGGCGAATGGAGAAGGGCTGGGGTCAAGGGCTTGAGGAGATTGTGTACGCGTATGTACTGTGAGCGCGAAGTGACGATTGGCGACTGCACAGGCGTGCTGGGTGCAAACGAGAGAGACGAACCGCCGATGAAATCACCGAGCTCGTCCGGAGCTGTTGGTGCAAACAGGTCGACCGAGCTAGGCTGAGAGAACGCAATATTCGCTGTCGCGAAATCGCCAAACTCGTCATCGACGACGGCTAGAGTCGGCGGTGCACGCGCTTGTTCCTCTCTCGACCCCTTCGCCCTCGCTTCGAGCAAATCCAACACCGGACTCAAACCCAACTCCTCTACTCGTAGGCGTTTGTATCGTGGGCCCCATATCTCCTCGGAAATCGCAAGCCAAGAAATGGTACGACATGTACGGGCGTAGGCGGGATAGTCCGGAACGGGAAGGAAGTCGAGGATGAACAGGTGGAGATGTTGCGGCAAGCGGCCGATAAGCGGACCTGTAGGTCGAGGTAGGGGACGATTTGGCTTGTGTAAAGCAGGCAATGGTTGTTGGTAGAGGCGTACGGGCTCGAGCGCCTTGAATTTGTCCATCCGTATCCGGTGTCGAGAGTCAACCCAACGCGCGCTCGTTACCGTACAAACGGTCGCGATATTCCGCACAGTACGGTGCTTGCGGCTGACTCGGCGGACAGGAACGCCTCGGCTGGGCTTGCTATACAGTCCGTGCGAGCGCGCTTTTTACGGCTTGTGAAACGACCCTCTTGCGGGCGTGGGGAGGCAGGATGCAGAGTGGAAGTACGATGATGAAATTGACGTCGATGTACTAGTTCGTACGCCTCGTTCGCGAGGGCGACCACCGCGAGCAAGAAACTGCTTTACTCTTGACTATACGACGCCACCTCTACGAGCGCTACAGAGACATCCTGGTTACAGTATCGCGTCGTCAGTCCAGCCACCAGAACCCCCTTCTTAACTTTCATGCGCGACTCCCCTCTGTACTAATGTCTCGATAATTTCCACGGCTCTCCCGAAAGCCGTCTTGTCTTCTTCCGTCACCTTCACGTCACTTTCGAAGCGTGCACAGCCCTGTGGTGCGGCGTTGATCCACGTCAAGTCGGGGCTTTGGTAGAAGATCCCAATATCGCGACCGTAAATGTCGCTCGATGGGACGTCCTCAGTAGGGAGCTTGTTAAGGATGGATTCAAGCTCGGCGAGCAGACTGACGTTGTCCTCAGTAGACGGGTGGATCGCCTTCAGGTCCTGCGCTTGGAGGCTCGGTGTACCGTCCGGCCGGATCTTAGACGAAAGGAAAATAGTCGAAGCACCCTGCTCGAAGCTTAAGTCGTGAACAGCGCTTGGATTCGGGGGAGCGAAGCCGCCAGCGATGCCTACGATATCGCGATGTAGTCGTTTATCACGAGCTGTCACTAACAATATGGGACACACCGTGCTGGATCCGAAGGCTAAAAGGCTTAGACATTGTCAGTTTGCTATCGACGTTGAGAGGAGAAAGGTGTCGATACGAGCGGTAGGAAACGTGAGCTTTACCATACTAGCTTCCTTTTAGGAGATCAGATCGGGAGCCTATCTTCGCCGCGACGAGATAGTCGCGCAGTTACCTTGCCCAACGAGCAAGCGGCGCATTCCTGGCATAATACTACCGATATACCGATCGACCATTCGTACAACAGCCTTTCCTAGACGTCGCAGATGGTCCCTGATCGACGTCCGGGCAACTTGGTTGAAAATCGACCCTCAAA